AATACGGTGAGTTTTATCATTCCTAAAATCAATGTTGCTGTTATTGTTGTATGTCAAGCACTTAACATCTAACGACGAGCTTTAAAAAGTTATTCTCATTATTAGGAGGGTGCTTATTATCCATAGAAGCCACATCTTAAAGATTTCACTAAATGAGAGCTAAATCTCTTGGTTTTGTCTTATCTAAAAATCTAATATGCCTTCTAAAAATTTAACCTATAACTATTGGCTCTTTTAAAAGAGCCACAAAATTTTAAAGCCTGCATGGATATCTGTGATTGAAAAGTAGGAAGGATAATTCATACTTAGATATTTAGCATGAAGAGAGGTTTAGCAATGTGGTGTATAAATGCAAATTAAAATGTAATTGAGGCAGTGTTGTTTTAAGAGAGTGCCCTCTTATAACGATAGGTAAATTTTAGTTAGTTTGCAGTTGACACCAGTTGCTATAATATAGTGTTAGTAAAAAGTTGATTAAAGCCAATTTTAAACAGTTGATACTACCGAAGAAGGATCTAAGTCGATATATGGGGCTGAACTTTGAGAATCATGAAAGTTAATACTAATCAAGATCATGCCAATAATGCTAAGTTCTGCTCGATCAAGTATTACTTAAGATATCCAGATACTCTTATACTCAGGGATTTAGATTAAAAATTGGAAGAATAATCCACTGATAGTTCAGATGTTCAGATATACAACATGATAGTGAAGGTGCTATTATTACATGTGTATAAATAAAAAAAATAGAAAATGTCAAATTAGTCCCCTGACTCTTTGCATGAGGTCATTTTAGTCTCAGAGTCTTTAATAATGTCAATTTAGTCTTCGTACTTTTAAATATAGATTGAAATAGTCCTCATGGAATACTATTCCAACTCAATTTTAAAAAATATTTAAGAACTAATTTGTTTTTTTTTCCTAGGCTCTCAGATAACCATGAAAGATGGACAAAACGATTAGATAGACCTGATGTTAGCTAGGGAAGCTTGTCTTTGCTCGACTGATAAGGAAAGGAAAGCTTGGATAAGGTTCGAGTCTCGCTGACGCCCTTCACTTCTTTAGTACTGGTAGGATTGGTCTACCAGCTCCACTCATACAAGTCAATCGAGTTCTAGTCGAGATATAAAGTATTGGCTCACCGACGATCATACCATTGAATAAGTTTCTCATGACCCGTACATAAATCGGTGCAGGGATAATGGTCCCAAGTTCGTTCTCGTTGTGGAAGCGAGTGTCTTGCTTGATCTTTCCAGTCACGCTAATGTAGAATTAGGCTTGAGCACAAGGAACTTCACTGCACAATTGAAAGAGAAAGATAAGAGAAAGATCGATTTGAGAATAAACGAAGAGAAAGAAAAGAAGAATGCTCTAATGATTAAGAAAGGAAGCCAATCTTCGAAATAACTCTAGAAGCTGAAAAGAAAGACAAATACAAGAGCATTTAAGACAAAATCAATCAGTATGTGCATGCTTTGAACCTAACCCCAATGTCTTCAAAGAAAGTTGAGGGTTGAGAGGTAAAAGAAGCACATTGGCCCCATTTAAATAGTCAGAGGACTATTTTGACACTAAACTCCACAACAACAATAACAAGCCTTTATCCCACTAAGTGGGTCGGCTACATGAATTCTTTTTCTATGCTGCGTTCTATTGAGTGTCATATTTTTATGTAATTCTAATATATTAAGTTCATTTTTTATATAATATGCCCAAATATTTTTAGGTCTACCTCCGTCTTTCTTAACATAAGTCGAATGTAAAACATTTACTCTCTTAACTGGATCATCAACCGCCCGACTTTTAATGTGACCAAACCATCTAAGAACACTCTCTCTAATTTTTTCTTTCACTAGAACTGAACTAACTCTATCACTGATATATTCATTTTGTAGTTTGTCTCTAAGTGTTAGGCCACTCATCCACCTAAGCATTCTCATTTCAACAACACTTAACTTTGTTTTATGTTGCTTTTTTGTTGCTTTTTTGAAGGCCAACATTCCAACATTCGGCGCCATAGAGCATTGCAGGTCCCACCACTATCTTATAAAGTTTTTCTTTTCGGTCGAAGCACTAATTTCTATCACGCAATAGGCCTAATGCATTCCTCCACTTCAAACAAGCAACTTGATTTATGCTAATAACATCCTCATTTATATCACCATCACTTTGAACAATAAACCCGAGATGTTTAAAATGTTCACACTTTTAATGATTTGATCACCCATATTTACAACTCTGCAACTAGAGATACTCCTAGTAAAATTACATTCAATGTTTTTAGTTTTAGATCTAGTTAAACGAAGGCCTTTATCCTCCAATGTAGACCTCTATAATTTAAATTTTTCCGGAACTTTCTCTAGCCTTTTCCACAAGAAGGATATCATTTGCGACAAGCATGCACCAAGGTTCATCCTTCTGTAAAGGTCCAGTAAGAGCATCCATAATTAAAACAAAAAGATATGGCCTTAAAGACGATCCATGATGTAATCCATCTGAAATAGAAAAATACTTGGTCAATCCTCCTTTTGTTCGAACACAAGTAACAACTCTAGTATACATATCTTTAATGACTTGAATATAAGTCGTATCAACACTTTTCTTCTCTAGAAGTCTCCAAATGACTTCTCTTGTAACTTTATTGTAAGCTTTTTATAAATCAACAAAAAATATGCATAAATCCTCTTTATTCTCTCTGTACTTTTCCATCAAAGCTTCCATAGTAGACCTGCTCTATATAAATCCAAACTGATTATGAGAAATCTTTGTATCATGTCTTAACATATGTTCAATTACCATCTCCCATAATTTTAAAGTGTGACACATCTACTTAATTCCTCTATAATTTTCACTCTTCTGTGCCCCTTTTATTCATAAAAATGTGGACTAAAATACTCTTCCTTCGCTCCTTAGACATCTTTGTAGTTTTAAAAATAATATTAAAGAGTTTAGTGAGACAAGAAACTCCCAAATTTTCTAATTATTTCCACACTTCAATTTGGATATCATGAGGTCCTATTGATTTTCCACCTTAGTTTTCTTTAAAGTCTCCCCAACTTTTTTTTACTAATGCGGACGTAAAAATAAAACATTTTATTAATATTAACGATATTAAGATCCTTAAGGTCGATCGTATTTTCAGCAACTTCTTTGAAAAAGTTTTCTAATAGCTCACCCACTTATGTTGAACATCTTCCTCTAAGAAAAGCATTTTTTGATTATTTTCTTTAATATACTTTACTTGAATTAAATCTTTACTTTTCTTTGCTTTTTGCTTGGCTAGTTTATATATATATTTTTCACCGTCTTTAGTATCTAATCTATTATAAAGATCACTAAAAGCGAAATTTTTAGCACAACAATGTTTTTATAAGGAGATGCACTTAACTAGATACAGCAAATGGTTCAGTTCCCGTGGCATCAGTTTCTATGTTTGAGTGTTTGCAAAGGTGATTTATAAAGGCAAGTTCAAACAGAAACTACCTATTTGGGTTGATAAGTACTATTGCCAGCAATGTGTACCAAAGATGGAAAACCGCACTCAGGTCATGTATTGCTGAATAATGAAGTTCTTTTTGAAGAGTATCAAGAAATTACCATTTTTTTACATCTCGATCAGTTATATTTATGACCACTTCTAATCCGCTTGGCGTCAATGACCTTATATATTTGTTTATTATTGTATTTTATATTTCCTTGAATGCATGCATCCCTGCTTATAAAAAAAAAGCTATACTTTTTTAATGCTGAACATGCCTGTTTATCAGAATAAAGAATAGCTGCTTTTTTTTGGTTTTCTGAACTTCTTTAACTTTCATTATATTATTCTGTATTTTTTTGAAAAACTTACATGCATACCACTTAATTTTTATGTATTTACATATCTTAACACCTATATTTTAATTTTTACATATATGTCACCTTATCTATGCATGAAAAAGTGTATTTCACTTTTTAAAAGTAAAAAATAGTGATTTTCTTATGTGAAATGAGAGATTTGGTTGGTATAAATGTCAAAACTAGAGTTTAGGTGTTAGATTGTAACTACTTAGGAATTGAGTGGTATGTATATAAATGCCCCTTTTTTATGAGAAGTTTTTTGTTCTCTATTTTACTATTGAATTAGATATTTTAGATTTGACTTATGCTAAGAAAGGTAGAGGTAGACCTAAAAAAATTTAGGCTTATTATATAAAAAAAATGATCTTAATCAATTAGAATTAAATGAAAATATGATACTCGATGGGACAGAACGAAGAAAAATGATTCTTGTAGCCGACCCCACTTAGTGGGATAAAGGCTTGTTATTGTTGTTGTTGATTGTTTTGATTTTGATGGACCATATCTAGTGGTGCCATATGAAAATCTATACCGTCAACTTTAATTGAAATTTAAATTAAAGTAATTTACAAAACTTGGCATTAGATAATTTTATTTATTTATTAGTAGAATTCAAGTTGGATGGTTGAAGTGGAGGAATGCATTGAGCCTATTGTGTGATAGAAAAGTAACACTTAGACTTCAAATGGAAAATTTTATAAGATGGTGGTGAGACCAGCAATGCTTTATGACGTAGAATGTTGGTCTTTAATAGAGAAGTATAAAATTAAATAAAGTGTTGCTGAGATGAGAATGCGTAGGTGGATGATTAGCTTGACACTTAGAGACAAAATGTGAAATAAATGTATCCGTGAAAGAGTTGGTGTAGCTCCAGTGGCAAACATAATAAAGAGAGAATTTACGTAGGTGGTTTGCATTAAATGTTGACCATGAGTAGATACTTTAGGTTCGACTTATGTTAAGAAAGGTAGAGGTAGACCTATAAAGCCTTGGGCATATTGTATAAAATTGATCTTAATTTATTAGAATTAAATAAAAATATGATAAACAATAGGACACAATGGAGAAAAAGGGTTCATATAGTTGACCCCATTTAGTGGGATGAAGGTTTGTTGTTGTTTTTGTTGTTGTACTAATGAATCATTGTTATGAATTCTCAGATAAAGACAGGCATGCTACCTTCTCCAGGTGTGATCAGAGTCATTTGCCAGAAAATAAAAGAGTTTCCTGTACAAGGTTTGTGCTCACTTTTCGTTTATATCACCATATTTTACACGAACTTTTTGGCCTTGTGGTACTTCACGTATTTTTATTCCCTCGAAGGCAGCTGTAGTTGTTGATCCGGTAATGATTTCTACAAGTGGTGATGTGCTTTCTGGTCCGTCCACGCTCGAAGGATTTTGGTGAGCAAATGTGATTGTAATTTTCATGAAATAAGGCTTTGCGGTTTTTTGTTTAAGTGTAAAGTATCAAACTAGTCCCCTGACCTTTTGCATGAAACCATTTTAATCCTAGAGTTTATAAAAGTACTAAAATTGTCCATGGACTTTTTTAATAGGTGCTAAAATTGTTTCCCCTGGGGACTATTTCAACCCATATTAAAAGAGTTGGGCGATTAGAGTGACATTTTTATAAACTCTGGAACTAAAATAGTTCCCTATAAAAGAGTCAGGGGATCATTTTGACACTTTTCTCTGCTATTTTCTGGAGATCTAACCGAATTTGAATTTGCATACTTTTATATTATAGCAAGGAGCTTCTTCCATTGGCCGATATTGTTACCCCGAATTTGAAAGAAGCTTCGGCCCTACTTGGAGGAATATCGTTGAATACTGTAGGTGACATGCGTTTCGCTGCGAAATCCATACTTGATTTTGGAGCCAGGTATGCTTCAAAATGACATTTATGAGAAGTAAGAATTGCTGTTTGCAAGCTATTTCTTGCGTTTTTTTTGTATCAACCAAAGCATTTGCACCAGCCACTTTTTGCTATTTCTTCTTAGGGGCATTTATTTATATACCACCCAATTTTTATCGATTTACATATCTGACACCTAGACTTTATTTTTACATTTATGCCACCAAAATCCTTAGTACCACATAAAAAATCCCACCACTTTAACCTTTAAAAAGGTGAAATACACCATTTCTTGCATAGGTAAGGTGTTATGTACGCAAAAATTGAAGTTTAGGTGTTATACGTAGGAATTCAGTCATATGTATGTAAATCTTCTTTTTTCTTAACGTGCTGTTCCAGTGATACAGATCTTGAAGAATTGCTTCCTTTTTGTTGCATCAAAATAGCTTCTGTAGATAGCCTTGGTAATAGGCTTGTGTGATACAGGAATGTGCTTGTAAAAGGTGGGGGTCTGCCTGGTTCATCAGACGCCATAGACATATTTTTTGATGGTATGACTAGTGTATTTCTTCTCTAGACATGGTTTTTGTTTAGGGGCATTTACATACATAGCACACAATTCTTATGTATTTACTACCTCACACCTAAACTTTCATATTTACACTCATAGCACTCAAATCTTTAATATCAAATTAAAAATAGCACTACTATCATTTTTTAAAAGTGAAATTCATCATTTCATGCACATGTTTAAAGCACCAAACTGCTATATATGTAAATATGAAAGTTAGGTGTGAAATATGTAAATAAATATACATATATAAATCTCCCTTTTGTTTATGCACCTTTTCAGTTTTCTTGAGATTTATTTAACTAGGCACATGATATCTTATGTATTGTGGGATATGCTCTCCAGGGGAACAGTTTCATGAGCTGTGTGGACCACACATAAAGACGCGAAACACTCATGGAACTGGTTGCACTCTGGCATCATATATAGCAGCAGAGCTTGCTAAAGGTACTCCAATGCTGCAAGCTGTTCAGGTTTTGCTCTCTAGCCCTTTTGTCCTTTTAGATGTTTGGATGCTTTACTTAATATGATTTATATGCAGCCTCGGCAATTTATCGGTTTTATTAGGATAGCTTGTTAGTTATTGCTTATGAATTGCATTGTCTCTTGATAGTTTTATGATAGGATCTTTCACTAAAATTAGGGAAAAATAAAATATTTTTCTTTCACCAACATAAAACAACACAACCCAAATACACAAAAGATAAAAACCTACAATTTGAGGGTATGTATCTCTCTCAAATCCTAACCATAAGATTCAATACAACATTCATATATATTTCTAACCCTAAACATATTAAGCCCTATTTATACCCCACAATAATAACTTACAAGAGATCAAATTACCCTTTTTAGTCTTATGCTTAATGAACGTTTTCAAATTTGGCGGGCTCGACGCTGACTCAGTGGAGCACGAGGAGGACGGTGTCTTAAGCACCGATCTAACATTGCTCCCCTCCAAAAAAGACACGTTCTCAAGGTGTAAGAGAAAAAGGTCATGTTGGATCAAGTCATATGACTTTCACTCATAAATTAAATTTAGTCTAGTCCTCTCCGTCAACACTTAATTGAAATAATTGATGGGTTGTTGATGTTGCATGAGGACTGTGTCAGTGGAGCACGAGGAGGACGGTGTCTTAGGCACCGATCTAACTTTGCTCCCCTCCAAAAAAGACGCGTTCTCAAGGTGCAAGAGAAAAAGATCATGTTGGATCAAGTCATATGATTTCCACTCATAAATTAACTTTAGTCTGGTCCTCTCCGTCAACACTTGATTGAAATGATTGATGGGTTGTTGATGCTGCATGAGGACTGCGCCTAATTCATAGCCTGAAGCATGCATTTCTATAATGAAATGTTGGTTGAAATCAGGCAACGCCAACACTCGTACACTCATCATGACCTTCTTTATCTTTTTAAAAGTTAGAGCTTCAACATCCCCCCACTGAAAGTTATTATATTTTAATTTCTACATCAACGGCTACGCAATCGAAATGTAATCCTTCACGAACTTTGGTAGTCTCCTGCAAGTCCCTAAAAATCTCTCAGTCCTTTTAAGTTCTTATTTAGTGGCCAATCCAACAGAAATGCCACCTTTGATGGAGCCACCGACACACCAGATACCATTAACACCTTTAAATGGTCAAAGTAGTTATCTAAAGAACAGTTGTACACTAGGATATCGTTCAAGAGCACTAACACAAACTTTCAGAGGAAAGGCTGAAACACCTTATTCATTAGTAGTTGAAATATAACCAGATTATTGGTGAGCTCGAATGACATAACCAGAAATGCGTAGTGACCCTCATGAGTTCGAAATGTAGTTTTGTGCACATTTGTTGGCCACATCCAAATTTGTGGTATCCCGACTTCAAATAAATCTTGGAGAATATCATAACCTCAAACAACTCGTCTAGTAGCTCATCCATCTTCGAGTGGAAAACTTGTCAGATATTTTTTCTTTATCTCGATATTTCACATAGAAACACCAACTCCAATCCTTTGTCATTAGCTAGACTGGGCTAGTGATGGGGCTCACACTAGGTTGTATGATCACAACCTCCAGCATCTTTCAGATCAATCTCCCGATCTTGTGCTTCTGTACTTAGTGGGTAGTTGTATGGGCATTCACTAATGAGAGAAACCTTCAGTGATACAAACATGCAGAGAGAGGCGCTGGAGCCTTGTTTGCATTTCTTACAGCCAGAGCGACTGATGCAGGTTAGGTAGAGCCACCCGACTCCTTTCGAAGGTTTTGGTGCCTCTTTTCAACAACGGAGCCCAATCCTAATTATCTAAGGCTTATTTATTTGCATTTAGTTTTAGGTTTTCATTTTTTGCTTGATTTTCTGTCAGGACAGCCGACGACGTCCTGGTTTTCCCTTCTAGGGCTGTATCCATAGGCGAGAAGGTGCTCCAGCTGTAACTTTTCCTAAGGTGGTGTGTACCTTCGATTTCGCTACTCCTCGCATCCCTTCCTTCTACAGGTACTTCCCTTTTCTTCGTCTGGGACAGAAGCCTTGTTGTTTTCTTCTTGCAGACCAACCACCTAGCCATCTATTTCCCTAATTCCAGTTGCTTGTTTTTGCTACTAGCCGCCTCTCCCTTGCTGCCACCACCCGGAACAATACTTCCGGTTGTTATTCCCATAGTCCAACCTAGTTTCTTACAGCCGCTTGGGACAACAAGTGCCTGATTCCTCGTTGCTGTTTTTCCGCTAGTTTAAGCCCGCCAACCTCCACTTTTGCCCCGCTGCAGCCGACCTCAATTTCCCCTTCCTTCTACAACCATCCATCCCCTCACCACCCTCCTGCAATCCACTCATCAAATTCAACCACCAATTTTGGATAAAGTTTAGTTGTGTTTGCGTTTGTCATTTTATTTCCCTTTCAAGTGTGTTTGGCTGTAATCACATATTTGCTTTCAATAATACTATTTGTTTTATATAGTTTTTTGGGTTATAACTCTGGTATCACCCGGCCTCAGGGCTATTGCATGCTTGTGTTCTCTTCGAAGCAGCAATCCACGTGACAACTGGAAAACTTTTGCAAATTGTTGTAGGAGCTGTTGGATCAGTGTTAGAATCTCTGTGAACTCCGTATCATGTGCAACTTTCCAGCTATAAATCCAACCACAGACATCCCATCCTTCAAAGATCAATATCTTCAATTTCTTTATGTGTGAGTCGCCTGCCCAATATCCTCAACCATGCTCATTACTCCCATGAAACAAGTATTGGGTTTCCTTCATCGACCCGTATTGATTTTTCTTCTCCCATGAGTATGGCTCACCCCATAATCAACTCACTCGTTCTCATAGGCTTCTGAATTGTCTTTCGTCCGAAAGACTGCGACTACAAAAGACACTAACGCGGATGGATGCATCCCTTCATTGGGGTTCCACCCACCATGGTTCCCTGTTCCTTTCGAAATCCTTCGAATCGTTCTTCTCCAACTGACTCACATGACATCTTGTTTTGCCTGTTGTCTCTCGTTCCAAACCTTCAGATGTCGTGCAATTCCCTCCAGATGTTGCCGCTCGAATCCGCCGCTTACTCTTTCACTCGATCCCTCCTGCTTCCGTTTGTTCCAACAGTTTGCATGTCACACTATTCCTTCCAAGAGTTGTGACTCGAGTTTGCTTTTGATTTCTTCGCTCGATTCCTCAGCTCTAGATTTGCCTAAGGCAACAACACTGTCGTGATGCCATGCCCTTCTTATTGCTGCTCGCATCCACTTCAGGCGCTGTTTCTTGATCCCAGGGCGGGCGGCAGGGCTGTGAATTTAGTTGGAAAATCATTAAATGCTCGAAAAGTTGATTCAAATTTTGACTCGGATCGAAATAAACGGTCAAGCTACGAGCAAATTTTTTTTGAGCTAATTTCGAGATCCTGTCACCATTACTTTGGCTCAAATTTCCCTCTAATTTGTCCTCCAAGACATCTACTGTTTTGGTCGCCATTACTCACAGGAAAGTTTTCGTTCGCATTGGTGAACTTCTGTACGTCGTGATCCCGTCGTTGGCTTCCCAGCTAGCTTGAGTCGCGACTATATCATTGAGGTTCAGTCATGAGGTTGACTATATTGTAAGGTTCAATGACGTAGGCGATCCCGTTGATCTAGAATGTATTGCGATCTCTTTGTTAGCTTCCTACTAGCTTGAATCGCAACTAAACCTCACAACTTCGAATCCTGTACAATGTGATCCCGTTGTAGGCTTCTCAACTCCTTTGAATTGCAACCGTATCACGGGTGCAGTCACAACGATAGATCCTGTAAGGATCGATCTCGTCGTAGGCTTCCTAGTATCGCAAGGTTTGGTCACAACGACAGATCATGTATGCCGCAATCACATCATTGGCTTCCCAACTAGCTCGAATCGTGAAGTTTGGTCACGAAGGCGCACTGCGATCCTGTTTTTGGCTTCCTATATATCAATTGCTCATTATACTAATTGGATAGGAATTTTCTCAAAAATTAGGGCAAAATAAAATATTTTTCTTCCCTAGCACATAAAATACAAGTATATACAAAAAATATAAACATCTATAATTCGAGAGGTAGAAAATCTCTTCGAAACTCTAATGCTAAGATTCAAGATAACAATCACATATATCTCTAACCCAAAACATATTAATTTTTATTTATACCCCACAATAATAGCTAACAAATGATTAAATTGTCCATTTTACTCTTATGCCTAACATAAGTCTTTTAAATTTTTTTGGCGAGCTCGGTGTCGACTCAGTGGAGCACGAGGCACACGGTGTCTTAGGTGTCAGTCTAACATTTTTGCAATTTTGTAATTTGAACTTTCATTGTGGAAATAAAGAGTAGGACTGAAACATGCACATGACTTTGTCCTTATTTAAAACGTTTGATCATATTCTATTGAGCTTAAATTTAAGGTAGCTGGTAAGGGTTATTAATGGTGCATTAGGAGCTAGGAGGCTTAATTTACTTTTAATGTGGAATCATTCTCCACTCCAATTTGGACCTTTATAAATCTCCAGGGTATTTTAGCTATCACTAGCTATGTTTAGTAATGGCTATTGTAGTTATAGTACTTAAGAGCCTTTTGCTACAATACTCGAGCAAATATGGCCATTTGATATAGTACTTGATTTTTGGAGGCTTTCGGTTGGGAGAAATAGTCAGGAAGAGGAAGAATTATTTTGGAGAAATTTTTACTGAATTTTTTTTATAAAATTCAAGCATCTTTGCAGGCAATAATAGTAGGGATAAGATCTAATGCACAACTAAAAAAATTCCAAATAAAGGGATCCCCATATGCAAATGATGAAGTAGAGAATTTCAAAGTGTAGTCCAAATTTCTCATTCCCTTAGAGAACTTTTGTCCAAATTTTGACGGTAGTTTGTAAGATATCCATTGTTGAAATGGACAGTTGGATTGACCTTTCCCTTGAGACCTCTCATATGCTCAAGTTAGCATTGTGATATGAAAAAAAGGATAC